ACCAAATGTCATAGTTAATTTTTGTATTAAATAATTAACATTTGGTAAATTCTTTGAAGACAATAGGGTAGAAATAATTCACAAAGTGAGGCAATTGCATGGGGTCAGTATGAGGCACTGACTGGTGACAGAGATCCAGAAATAACGTAATCAGATCACATTGTTTATCATTTTCTTATGGAAGTGATACTGTATGTTCTGGGGAGAAGAACACACGTTTAGGACATCAGAGAATCATGAGGAAAAAGTAAGAAGAACTAATTTGTCAAAAAAATGAGAAGCCAGTTGGCCTCAGTATCCAGCTCGCTTGGCATGCTTAATTTATGTGTACAAATGTAGTTTGTACATCTTGCAGGAGACTCGTTCAGACTTACAGTGGCCACAGTATCCAGCTTCCAGTTTGGCTGCCAGGAGTGCTTTTTCTTGTAGTTGTGATATTACAACTTCATTGCATACAATATAGTGCAGAAAGTAATATACTTTTCTGGCTGTGTTTTTTGCTTGGTAGGATTACTGAGAAGCTATTCCCCACTGATCAGTGCCTAACTTTACCTTAGGCAGGTATGTTCACTGCTTTTCACCACACTATGAAAAAGATTCAATACTATTTATCTCCCTACGCTTTGCCTTGCTTTATAGCGTAGTGAAAGCCAGGTGACTCTCCAGGAGTGTTTTTTTTGGTGAGCGTTCTTCATCTGTAGGTCCAGTGGTCACCTAGGGATTACAATAACTGACACCTATGACAGGCAACAGATGGACCTCTGCTAAGTAAAAGAGTGCTTTTCTTCAAAATGTCCTGTATTTGGTCATCAACAACATGCTGAATAGCTTAAATGTTTTGTGTGGTTTTAGGCTTAGGTTTTTTCATTCTTTTTCCCCCTCTTCCTTCAGAGGTCCATGTTTTAGGTATGGCTCTTCTATACAGTGATGACATCGGGTGGAAAGTTAACCTCACCTTGTGTGACACAGTGTTGTCAGAAGGTAATGCTCCTGTCTCCAGAAGCAGTCTAGTTGTCTCAGCCTATTGCTCTGCCAAAATTAATTCATTTTGCATTTTCAGCACTCATGAAGTTATACAGCTGCTAATTCCAGAGCTGTCTCACTGAACCCTAGTTTGGGGATCTCTGCTTCGCAGTGTAGCTGTGGACAAACTTACTGATGTATTAGGCTCAGGGTCTAATACAAAACTCTGCAATCACTTGGAGAATTTTTTAAAGCTCAGGCTATTGAAGCTAGTGTCTACCCAGCATTTAACATGCTCTGTGTATATTATCTGTTTTCAAATAACAAAACATAACAAATAACAAATTTCAAAACAATTTCAGGCTCTAATACAAAACTCTGCAATCACTTGGAGAATTTTTTAAAGCTCAGGCTATTGAGGCTGGTGTCTACCTATCATTTTATATGCTCTGTGTATATTATCTATTTATAAATAACAAAAAGACTGTATGAAGGGCCTTTCTCAAAGTTGTTAAGCCATCACCATTTTGACTGTAATATTAAATTGTTCACTGAAAATTCAGGTTTCAGTAAAGATGATCTGCCTTGCATTTTAAAATTAAATGTGTGCAGAAGGATTTGTTTATCGAAATAACATGCACTGTGCCCCACAGATCAAATGAATGTAGATTTTAAACACACAAATTAAATGTATTTCTTCTTTACTATTAATTGCATCCCATTCTCTCATATTTTTCCTGATTTTCCCCCAGTTTAAAGAAATGCTTAGCACTTTCAACTCCAAATCACTCCAACAGCCACCCAGAATCAGTATGAGATACAAAGTTACTGTTGCACTAACAAAAGATACTTTTCTTTAGAAATAACTGCAAATACAAAAAAAGCTTTTCTGATTTAGAATCAGATAAATGACTGTAAAGCCTGTTCCCTGAAGCAGGGTCTAATGTAGTCACAGCTGTAGCATTCCGTGCATATAAAAATTTTTATACCAGTTAAAAAAAATAGATTTCAATAAAAAGTCACCTTTCAAAAATGAAGAACCGCTGCTAGTGAGTTATGTATCTCGACAGGTATCCAATATTTACCCCTGGAGGGATTTCTTCTTACAGAGGCTCTAACTCCCTACCAAGTGGATGTGCTCACCTTCCCAGTCATTTGGACAAGGGTTAGCATGATAAAATGATTTGTTATGCCTATAAAGTTTTTGTTACACTGTAAAATGGTTTGTTACGCTACTACTGTTACATAAAAATGTTATGAAAATTAAGTAGGTTGTAAGGTCCAGAAAGGAATAGGCTATTTTTAGGACTAGCTACTAGGAAAAGAGAAAAAGAAAGATTTTGTGATCTACGATTCTTCAGTACTGTAAAAAGACAACCTAAATGACCTTTTAACTAGCAATTGAAATTGGTACCCCAATTAGGAAAGCAGTTATGCATCCAAAACAAATGGAAACTTCCTCAGGTCAACAGTACTCAGAAAATGGGAGGAAACTGCAACAAGTTTGATAATCTAGGTGGCAACGTCTGTCCTGTGTGATGGTAAATTAAACAAGCCTAAATTACAATTCAGAATGGAAACTGAAGTACAATTTCATGGTATGATAGTCATAATGCATCACAGATGGGACAGCAAGATAATAAGACTGGAGGAAAGCTTTACTTTGTGTATGGGATTTTAATTTTAACATTGTGTATATCAGTCAAAAGCAGTATCTGAAACTGGCAACTATTCAATTCACAGTCAAGCCTTCTAAGTTCCTGGCACATTTTGAACTTGCAATGAACTGTATGCAGAACTTCTTTATGATTGTTCCAGGCAATCAGTCACTCCACAAGAAAGGGAAAGCCTGTTACATCTTATGTTTTATAATTAGCACATAATTTTTATACTTTTCCTTTTAATATTTCTTTTAGTTTGTATTAAATGATTTATTTTATCATGATTTTGTTTTATTTTGTTTTATTTTATTTATTTTATTTTATTTTAATATTTTATTATTTTTTAATTTTATTATTCTAATATTAATCTTGTGGTTTCTGTCATTTGGTAAATTTTGATCAGAACTGTACTGCACTGAGAACTACAGAAGAAAAGAGTTCCTGATTTTAACAACTAGCTGCATTTCCACTGCAGTCTAAATTTGTTTCTAATCACAAAGATTCCAGAAAAAATTCTAACACAACACATTTTTTCTTACAGAAGTGAGGAAGTATTGGAAATATTTATGGTTTTCTCCTTTTAAGCCAACCCTACTTCAGTTTCCCTTGTACAGGCTCAGTGAAGCAGAGTGAACTATACTGAACTGCGAGGGGAATTTGCTACAAACGTAGAGCTCATGGGAGAAGCAACCTGCTTTGAGTACCAGGCTCCCACAAGAGTAAGGAAGGTGCATTCAGTTAAGTTTTGTAGATGTAGTGTGCAAAGCTCTTCTGCAAGGCCTGCTTTCACAGAAACATTGTACCATATGTTGGCATACACACGGCTGGGCCACAAAAGAAGTAATGCTGTCTTCACTGGAAAAAATCCCACCTCAAAGCCTTTGCTGCCTGACTGAACGACAGTCAGGAGAAGGCTCATGATGTCACTGGTGCCTGAGAAGCTGACAGGCCAGTAGAAGACACGTGGCTTGTGTAGATGCATGTGATGTCACTAAGCAAGTGCACTAACTGAGACCTGGATTGTCAACTGGAAGTTCATTAGTCACTGCTTTAAGATACAAGTTTATTAATTTTTGATTAAAAGCAATGGCAAGGAAAAAACTTTTGGCATCTTACAAAAGTAACTTCGTAATGCAGAGAAATTATCTTGAGGTTTTAGGCAACTGCATTCCAGACAGTTGGACAGGATGATACATGTAACCACATACACTGACTTTTTACTTTCAAAAAAGAAATGTCCTTATCTTGGAAAAATGTAAAAATTAAAATTTGAGATTAATTTTAAACTAATGAGTGAGATTCATCCTACAGAACACTTCTGCTTTGCTACTGGCAGCATTTAGCGGTTAGTTAGTGAAACAGCTGGAAGTACTGAATAGACCAGGAACATCCAGCTCTTCTGGTTGCTCAGACCAGGCAGCTCACCTGACTAGTAGGTGTGGACTACAGACTGCATCTCTTCTTCCACTGTCTGACAAACACTGGTGGCCGAGGTTAGGACCATAAGGCATGAGCATTTATGTTCTCAGAATAGGTCCAGACATCAGACCTATGTGCACCTTCTTGGGGTGGGCTGGTTGCAGTGTACTACACGCAGCTATGTAGAGAAAGGGCTACCTCTTCCAGGAGATCGCATGCAGCTCATGCCAAACAACCTTTTAACCACATGCAGAAGCAGCCATCAGACTGAGGAAAGACTGTGGCCAAGACCGGGATGCTACTTCTAAAGCAACTCTTCCAGCCCCAGCGCTTCCCTGCCCTGCAGACTTCTTATAATGACTTCTTGTACTTGCAGTGTCTGACTGGTGCTGCAACTACAAAATGTGGATCATGGAGGTAGAGTATTCTGATAATGCAGAGTCCCAGGAAAGAACAAATAACATGGTTAAATATAAATGACTACTTTAATTCCCAATACTTCTATGACCTTTTGGAATTTTTACATCCATATCTCACTTTGGGAAGAAACTTAGTCATGTATCATGTAAAATATATTTACATTCAGGGATGAATAAATACCGTCATTGACTGAGAACTTTGGAAGGGTTTAGGCAAATTAATTTTGGACAAGTCTGCTCTCCTTTGCTGTACATGTCTCAATGAATGAAAGGCAAGAAAAGTTAATTTTCACCTGTCCCAGCAAAGTGCAGAATGGGGACTACACCTACACAGAGCTCTACGGGATATAAGCAAAGAGAAGAGCAGTGCACATTTTAATAACTTGAATATAATTCTCTAATTCAAAATACAATTAAAAATCTGTAATGATACCTATCAACTACTACACCCTTCTTTCAGGACAGAGACCCCCAACAGCAGCAGGCTGCGTGTGAAAGGACTGCCAGAATCCAAGTACAAAAAGAAATGGGAACTTACGGAGAGGAGTATTTGGATAGCGCTGTGGATGACCTCTAGGTACTGGAAATCAATCATGCAGCCTGTCACAGAGACATAGGAGTAATCATCTAGGATGCCAGGGGCAGAAGGACGCACCACCCTTCGTATGCAGCCGGGCCCATGCTCCCGCCACCAAGAGCGGTGCATTGAGATGTTAAAGGTCATGAGATCCGTTTCCTAGGAGACAGGGAGGGAAAAAGCGTGAAAACCTCTAATTTAGTATTACTTAAGGTAAAGCAAGAGAAATAAAAGGAGTTTCCAATTATTAAAAGGAAAATGAGATTAATAAATTGCTTTCCCGCTCACCCCAATAATTTTCACACAAAAATAGGCCATTAAAGTGGAGAGAGGCAATTGCAAACATTTATCGTTTATGTTGTAATTGTGCATAGGAGCTTCTGTCTGGCAGAAGAACAGTCCTACCAGGTACTGCACAAAACACAGTGCATATGCTATGTCTCCATAACTTACAGCCTGAGAAGCAATTTCATTGTTACTTGATTAGAATCTGACTAAAATATTAATTTTTTAAATAGGCAACAGAGACAGTTTTACCCCATGGTACTGGAGACAATCTAGACCAAACTTCCACCATATTTTTTTAAAGTAATAACTATAACTTATAGCTATTATTTCAAATAGAACCACAGCCAGCCAGTTTCAGCTGCCAAAGATTCAAGTGAAAATTTGTCTCCAGCCAAGCACCCTACCCTCTTTTCTCCCCTCTGTCCCCCATCCACATTACCATCACCTCTGTTTAGCTAAGAAACCTGCTTCTGTGAACTGATTTGGGTATAAAATTCATGCAATAACTTCTCTTCACTCAAATTATCTTCAGCCTTAACCATAGCTTGTCTGATCAGGCCCTAAACCTACCGTAATGGGTACCAGCTGCATTGTAGCCTACACAGTACGTGTAATGTCTCTGCATTTTAGTTAACAATATCCCACTTCCACTTGTTCCATAGTAATATGCTAGAGGTTTTCTAACATCTTATCTATGAAGTATAAACAGGAAAATTCATCTGAATTAACAACAGGTTTAGGTCTTTAGGTGATGCTCAAGTAAAATTCCCTGAAATTGAATGGATGCCACTTAAATGCAAAAAATCCCCTCCTCACTGGAAATAACTGTGAGATGAGTTATACTGGTACTTTTAATAATTCATTCAGATTCCGATTTCCATGTCTCCCCATCTCAACTCCATGGTAGCTGTAAAATATATGTGCAAAATTGTCAGCTGTGTGCCCACAAAATATCACCGTTTCCATAAAGCGACTCAGTGAGTGCTGCTGTGACACCGATTTGCCGTTTGCATCCCACTTTGAAAATCTGTCCCCTCTGTTTGTCTGTGGCTGTTTACTTTCACCCTGACCAAAGGGACATTTGGTGCAGATTCCATTTGCAGGAGGAGTCCTCTTGTTGTTTTTCTCTGTTAACTGCCTTTATTCCAGCCACACCTAAAAATTAATGGGTGAATGACATCCTGCTAGTGTCTGTTACTGCTAGTTAGCAGTAAGAAATCTGCCTCTGTGATTTGCTGCTTTGGCCTCTGTAACTTCTTTACCCTCAAAATGCAGATATGCTGGAGCATTATTTGATGTGGCACTTGTCTTTTGATTTTGCATGTCATTCTTTGACACCAGTTCAGAACATTTTCATCTGCAATATGAAAATGACTTGTGAAATCAGAAGTTGACAGACAATTCAGTTTAATGAAAATATAATTATAAATATATGGTCACAGGAAACAGCTGAGGCTTTCTCTGTACAACAATGCCAGAGATTACACAGTATTACCAAGTGCTTTAACAATTGTCGACTGTAAGAAATGCCATTTGTCAAGCAGCACACACATATTCACTCTCTTCTATTTCAGTAACTCTTTGCTGAGTAGGAATATGGATTTGCCATGTGGGTTAGCGTCTATCAAATGTTGCGAGGTAATCACAACTTGTTGTTATCACAACTGTGGGAATAAATTGTGATGTCTGTGGTATTGGTGTCACATCATTCTTTGCTCTTGAATTTTTTTTTCTCCTTCTTTTTCTGTTTTGATTTTTAATATTTGATTATTATGCCCTGTGTTTGTGCTTGGCTAGTTCACAGCCAATGGCAAAGGAAAATGGTAAACGTGCACAGGGAAACACCTTGATAAATGCTGCCGACATATTTAAAATGTAAGTATCTGGCATGTGTTCAGTATAAACACGTCATGTAAATAAAATCTTTAATTTCTGGTATACCATTATGTTTCTTTCGTGAGGAGATTAAAAAAAAATGCTTAATTTGATGGTCATGTTTAGAGAAGTCCCTCTGACCATACTCACTAAGAAACTGATGAGTATGAGGCATGTTCATATTTCAAGGCTGCTAGCAATGCAGGGAGAGAAGGAAGCAGCAGTACTATTGCTAAAATTCTTTGATTAAAACCAAAAAAGATGTCGTCACAGCACTTGCTGCCTTTTTTTTAAATTATTATTCAGAAATTATGAATAAAGGCTGGGAGAAGAGCTTTTCATAATTACTTTTCACTGTGTGTATTACATCCTGAGTCCTCAAAGCAGGTAAAAGCAGATAACGATGGCCCAGCAAAGACCAGTTTCAGAAATGCAAACAAAACCACTTGGTGCATTAGCTTGACCTCTAAAATATCACTTCACAAAATGGTAGCTGTAAGCTGTTTGAGCTGATAAATGTTAAGCTGCCAATCAATACAAGAAAGCCTGACAAAAATCAATTCTTTTTTTTAGCAGCTGAAGCACACTCCTCTCCAACGTCTTGGACATTCTTGATCCATAAAGTGACTGAAATGTGCCAGGTGTTAAAAAATTTACCTGTATCTTTATTGTCATTTACAGAAGTATAGAAAATTCAAAGACACTTTGCCAGGGTGTATTAGTGAACTTCTGAGAGTGTTTCAGTATTTGTGAATTCAGAACTTGGAAGCCTTGTGCATGGTGGAAAAGCTGCTGCCCGAGTGACTTGTTGTCCATTGTATGTTTAATAAAAGTTAAGAATTCTTTCAGCAACCAGAAGTAGATACTTGAAGTTTTCCGGTAGATCACGTACCGCTTTCTAAGGTCACACGCAATCGTTAAATGCTTAATATTCAGCAGGTGCTGTAATGTAAACTGCTTACTGCTTATAGAAGAATGCTGCTACTTCATAGCAAGACACTCTGTTTCAGGCTCTGTCCAAGAGACATCAAGTAGTCTCTTTGATGAATCCAGCTGGGATTCTTTTAACAACTGAAATTTCAATCAGGGATGGAAAATTGCTGTGTTCTGAGCTTCAAACTCATGACATAGATCTTGACCTTAATTTCATACATCAGCAGATAACTTATACTTCCTCAGCTGGCAACCTCTCAGACAGATGTCATAAACAAAGAGTGGGAAGAACACATAACAGAGCTTCCAGGAAAATCATGTGGGACTTATGGAAGTGACACAGGGAAGGAAAATCCTATGTCCTACTCCTCCAATTTTCAGTCAGCACTGAACCAGCACTCCAGTCTGTGGTAAGAAGTTTGCTCCTGAGTGTATGATCAGCCCAATAGTAGCTCTTCTACTGATGCAGAGTCCCACTTAACTGTCTACGGCTTTTTAAGTTTTTAAAGTATGTACAGGATTTGTGTTGGCTTCCAGCCCAAGGATTAATTTTGATCATTACTGGAAATCAGTGCTATGGCAGGTACTTTCTCTTAGGTGAGATGTAATCCCTTTAAGTCCCAATAATACTGTTTTCTAAGTGCTTGGAGATAATATTTAATTTCATTATATCTGCTTAAATTCTACAATTAGTTTCAAGTGGACATTTTCTATTGCATAGGGCTTTGAGCAACTTGATCTAGTGCAAGATGTCCCTGCCCATGGCAGGGAGGTTGGTCTAGATGATTGTTATGTTTTGGCCTGGATGAATGCCAGGTGCCCACCAAAACCACTCTATCACTCCCCCTCCTCAGCCGGACAGGGGAGAGGAAATATGATGAAAGGCATGTTGGTTGAGACAAGGACAGGGAGAGATCACTCACCAGTTACCGTCACGGACAAAACAGATTCAACTTGGGGAAAAAAAAAGTTTAATTTATCACCAATCATATCAGAGCAGCATAATGAGAAATAAAACTAAATCCTAAAACACCTTCCCCCCCCCCATCCCTCCCTCTTCCCAGGCTTAACTTTACTCCTGATTCTCTACCTCCTCCCCCCAGGCAGCTCAGGGGGATGGGGAATGTGTGTTGCAGTCAGTTCATCACACATTGTCTCTGCTGTTCCTTCCTTTTCAGGGGGAGGACTCCTCACACTCCTCCGTTGCTCCAACGTTGAGTCCTTCCCACAGGCTGCAGTTCTCCACAAGTGGCTCTGGAGTGGGGTCCCTCCCATAGAGTGCAGTCCCTCAGGAACAGACTGCTCCAGTGTGGGTCCCCCACGGGGTCACAAGTCCTGCAGCAAACCTGTTCCAGTGTGGGCTCCTCTGTCCATGGGTCTGCAGGTCCTGCCAGAAGCCTTCTCCAGCACGGGCTCTCCACAGGGTCACAGCCTCCTTTGTGCATCCCCCTGCTCTGGCGTGGGGTCCTTCATGGGCTGCAGGTGGAGATCTGCTCCACTGTGCACCTCCATGGGCTGCAGGGGCACAGCCTGCCTCACCATGGTCTTCATCAATGGATTCAGGGGAAAATGTCTGCCCTGGTGCCTGGAGTACCTCCTCCCCCTCCTTCCTCACTGACCTTGGTGTCAGCAGAGTCTTTTCTCTCACATCGTCTCACTCCTCTCTCCCAGCTGCTGTTTCACAGCAGGTTTTTCCCCTTCTTAAATATGTTATCACAGAGGTGCTACCACCTTCGCTGACTGGTTTGGCCTTGGCCAGCAGCGGGTCTGTCTTAGAGCCATCTGGCACTGGCTCCACTGGACATGAGGGAAGCTTCTGGCAGCTTCTCACAGAAGCCACCCCCTTTTAGCCCCTCTGCTAAGAAAACTTTGCCACGCAAACCAACCACATTGATTCTTGAAGGTCCCTTCTGACTGCGATTTTATGATTCTCTTTTTAGGTGGTGAATCTAAATAAATTATAACAGATAATAGCATAACACAGTTCATTTTAAAACTGAAGAGGAATAATGATGTCCCTTTCACTCATTTGTGTGTACTTTATGTACAGTGCCTATAACAAC